TTTCCAACTTAAGCTTCCTCAAAAGAGACTAAGTGTCTCAAACCTTCTCAAAATATTTCTGAACCCGAGCCAACAAAACCAATCATATATAGAACCAATAAACAAAGCAATAAGAAGCAGAAATAGGAGAAACGGAGCGGTAACTCATGAAACGACTGGCCAGGTCGTCACAGTACCACATGACCATAATAGAAAGGTGTGCAAAGTGTATTAAAAGTGAGTAGTATTTTAAGTAAATTCAGATAATTCTTAATTATGTGAATAATTGGGTAATTGGTTAATAAAAAATTAACTAATCAATTAAGAAATTAAGCGGCTAATGTTGGATAAGCCTAAATTTTTCCCCTCGTGACAGCAATATATAATTCTTGAGTGACTCTTGAATTCAAATTTGCAAGATGTCACAATTATAAAGGATTGGTGCCTAATCATTATTCCAATCCTTGAATGGTATGGCTCTAATACCTCACGTCAAAGAATCCTAAAAGCTCTTGAATTGTAACCTTTTCACGTCAAAAAATCCCAAAAGCCCTTGAATTGTAACCTTTTCACATCAAAAATCCCAAATGCTCTTGAATTGTATCATTTTCACATCAAAAAGCTTCAGAAAAATTCATTGATTGCAATAGCAATGTATTTCTTCAAAACGTTTCGTAGAGAAACCATTTTTACTATATAGCATTAGATTTTCTGATTCTAAGGGAATACAGTGCAATCTTTCTCAAGCATATTATACGGATTTTTCCTTACTCCAATCTTGCCGTCACGTGTTTTGTCACAATTAACGGGTGTTAGAGGGATTGTCAAGAGAATCGACTCAGGTACGTTAAGGCTATCCCTTCTTTGTTTTGGCATTATGTATATGACACAGATGTAATGATCAAATACACAGTTTCCATAAATGACTCTATTCATAGAAATACTAGAGATGTTTATGTTCTTGATTCCCTATGTGTCATAATATTCTATCATCTGTTCATGGGTCTCAGAGAATACGTAAGTTGAAAAAGTTTATTTCATGATATTAATCAAAGGCATAATGGTCTTATGACACTCCGAAAGATTTTATTGGCATACTTCTCATGCATTGCATTCATTTACATTGACCCATGACCAGATGGTGTTATATACGCGTATATGTATAAATATGTATATGGGATATGGAAAAAGGTTACGGCGTTATATACGCACCACCACCTGATCAGTTGTATACGTTGATGATTTGCGCACAGTGGCTGAAATGTGATAATGGGATGCCTTTAGAGGCTTGATGATGTTATAACACATATGCCTATGCATGGTATGATATTTATATGCATATTCATGACATTATAAAAATAAAATGATTCACAGACGTATGCAAACGTACATGTCGAGTCTTTTACTCCATGTTTCTCTCATGTCTATTATTTTACTGATTTTCATTCCTTACATACTTGGTACATTATTTGTACTGACATCCCTTTTGCCCGGGGACACTGCATTTCATGCGCGTAGGTCCCGATAGACAAGTCGAGAGCCCTCCAAGTAGACTATCATCTCAGCGGAAGATGTTGGTGCACTCCATTTGCTTCAGAGTTGCTTGTTTGGTTAGTGTGATTTAGACTTGTATTGTTTGGTATGGCAGGAATCTGTCCCGACCTTTATAAAAATATGTATTATTACAGGCTTGCATACAAATGTCATGTACGTAAAAGATTGTATGGCTTTTTTGGCCTATATTCAGGGTACGAATGCTTATTTGGTCTTAAAGGCCCATAGTTCTTATGTATAAGTTAGTATTACATGTTAGATTCTACCTATTTCACGGAAGCCTCTCAAGCTCAGTTATTTATGATAGTATGATACGAAAAGATACGTTGTGTTGGTACTCGGTTGAATAAGGTACCGGGTTCCCGTCATGGCCCATCGGTTTGGGTCATGACAAAAGTGGTATCAGAGTAGTTCTGTCCTAGGAAGTCTACAAGCCGTGTCTAGTAGAGTCTTGTTTATGGGTGTGTCGTGAACCACACTTATAAGTAGGAGGCTATAATGCATTTAGGACAGTCACTCTTCATCTTACTCTAGATCATGTGGTAGAGCTCAGTTGTAAGAACTCAATTTCCTTAACTCCATCTTATTTGTAATACAATGATATCTACATCCAGAATGACCGTTGGTAAGAGATATAGCTTCGGAAGAGTTGAGTCGGAGGAACTTAATTTTGCATCATGCTAATGATGGATAAATATGAGGTATTCAATAGATCATGTGCATACTAAGACGTGTAAGCCTCTTTATAAGGAACCTTAAGTCAAGGATATCAGCCACTCCTATGGTGAAAGGCAATGAGAGATAAAAGACATATACAAGTTTCAACAAGTAAAAAAAGCAAGATGAAGAAGGGTAGGAGGTGCCAAGTTAATGAAGAATTATCAGTATTCACAATTCAGGCAGAGGAATATAAGCCTTTTGAGTTACCTTCAACAATAACAGAGGTATGTACAATTGGCCACACTGATCTAAGTTATGCCATATGGGAGCTAACAGAAGTAGTATAAGAAAAAGGACGGATATCAGGATGCGGCTAGGGTTAGAGTAACCCAAAATGTTGGGTAGATTATTAGCGATTAGCGAACATTTTCGAAGGATATTAAAAAGGAGGTAATAATTCTCTTTGTGAAATGCAAAAAAATGTCTTGTCGAAGTTTCCGGAATAAAGTGATTAACAGAAATATTAGCAAGAAATGAGAAGAGAATTAATGGAGTATTATGAGTAAGACGTGATACATAGATGACAATGGTAGATAAAAAAAATGACAATATTTTTTTTGGTTAAAATAAATTTTTAATTTCACCAAGTAATGACTTTACATGCATCTAACTCATTTGGACTATTGAGTTAGTTTCTAGATATTTACAACCATTTCTATACTTGCCTAGATTGAGTACCAATTCAACCTATCTAATACACTTTTCCATTTACAATTATTTTGACCTTTAATATGTAACTGTATAGCTATATCTCTTGTTCTCTGTCTGACTTCTTGCTTCTTCAATTGAAACCTTCTCGCATTTCTTTCACCCCATATATGATAGACTGTAGCTACAAAGAGGAAACCCAATATGTGTGTCCATGGTCTAGTGCTAACTTTGTTTGCCACCCATTGCACTTCTTCCTACCAGTTCCATATCCTTCTCTGTATGCCTAGCCAGCTCAATATAGATTTCCACATATGTTGTGAGTAAGTACATTCAAATAACATATGCTCCAATGTTTCATCTCTTCCAGTTGTGCACAGTACACATCTTTTGTCAACTTGGATTCCCCATTTCTCTAGCCTGTCAACAGTAGCCAATCTATTTTGTATTTCTAGCCATAGGATAAACTGATGCCTGGGAATAATGCTTTGGATCAGTACTGCTTTCTTCCATTCTACTTTCTGAAATTGTGGAGTAAAGAATTTGTATGCTTTCTTTATGCTGAACTTCCATTGTGATTCACAGCTTCTTAGGTTTGTTGCAGGATCCGCATAATTCTCTAACCATTTTCTTGCCTCCAATATTTTCCTAACTAGCCAGCTTGCTTGTTTAGGAATAGGGAAATCTGATATAGTCTCCTGCTTTATGTAAAAGCAGTGAATCCATTTCACCCATAGACTGTCTTTCTTCTGCTTGACAGCCCATAACAATTTGCAAATTGCTGACTTATTCCGTCTGTAGAAGACTATTATGTTCAGGCCTCCAGCTACTCTAGGCATGCATAGTTTCTCCCAAGCCACTAGAGCTTTTCTAGACACCTTATTTGTACCTGTCCAAAGAAATGTTCTACATATACTAGTCACCATATTTATGACCTTCTTAGGCAGCAAGAAGATCTGATCCCAATAAGTCTGCATCTCGAACATGATACTTTTTATTAGTTGCAACATTCCACTATATGATAATAGTTTGGTTGACCAGCATCTAACTCTTGTAATCATCTTCTGTACTAGGGGTAGACACTGATGAACTGTAATCTTCCTTGAAGATAGAGGGACACCTAGGTATCTGAATAGAATTTCACCAGTAGCAAAGCCCATATCTTGTATAATCTGGTGTTTGAATTCATTAGGTACCCCTTCTATATACAATAAACTCTTCTCCATATTGGCTTTAAGCCCGGACACTTCAGATAAATGATTAAAATCCTACAACATCAACTGGATTGAAATTTTGTCTGCCCTGCAATATAATAGCAGATCATCTGCAAAACATATATGATTTAGGTTGAGCTTTGAACATCTGGGGTGATAGTTAAAATCAGGATCAGTATTCAACTTCTTCAAGCTTCTGTTCAAGTACTCCATTGCCAATACAAACAGGTAGGGTGACATTGGGTCCCCCTGCCTGAGCCCTTTTTTTGCTTGGAATCTGGTAGTCAGTCCTCCATTGATCAACAAGGCATAACTGACAGTTGAAACACAAGTCATTATCCAATTTACCATCTTCACAGGAAAACCAAATTCAAGCAACATCATCTGTAAAAAATTCCACTCCACTGAATCACAGGCTTTCCTAATGTCAATCTTTACCATACATCTAGGAGAAACCCCCTTTCTATAATATTCTTTCACCAATTCATGAGCTACTATGACATTGTCTAGTATACTCCTTCCTTCAATAAAAGCTGACTGAGATGGACCTACTATCATATCCACCACTGTCTTCAACCTTTCAGTTAGTATTTTAGAAATAGTCTTGTATATAGTTCAACAACAAGCTATTGGTCTAAAATCTTTAACCAAGGCGGGAGCTAGAACTTTAGGAACTAGGGTTGTAGTAGTACAGTTAATTTCTTTCAAAATCTGGACATTCTCAAAGAATTGCATAACTGCTATTATTATGTCTTCCCCAATAATCTTCCAGTTTGCTTTAAAGAACTCAACTGGGAAGCCATCAATTCCTGGAGCTTTATCATTGGGAAGTTTTGGAAAAATTTGACTTACCTCCTCTCTAGTAATAGGCTTAATCAAAACTTTCTATTGCTCAATAGTTAAGCATGGGCCATTCCTTACAACAGTTGTATTAATACAAGGCAATTCCTCAGCAGCAGTACTAAATAACTTTCTAAAGAACTGAAGAAATTCTTGCTCGATAAGTTTTGGATCAGTGATTAGAACTCCTTGTTCATTCTGTATAGAAGAGATTCTGTTCCTTGCCTGTCTAGCTTTCATATGAGCATGAAAGAATCTGGTATTTGAGTCCCCTGAGAAAATCCATGTAGCTCTAGATTTCTGTTGAAGAACTCTTTCATGAATAGTTCCCCATTTGTCCATCTCTACTAGTATCTCTTTCTCTTCATTGATCAGGCTACTGTTAAACAAATCTTGTGCTAATTTGTCTTGAATTTCCCCTAACTTTTGCTTCAAATTCATTATCCTGCCTTCTAATGATGAGTATTCTTTATTCAGCTGTTTAGTCTCTGCTTCCACCAGCTTCAACTTCTGCCACACTTCATACATACAATGCCCCTCAATATTCTGTTGCCACACATTCTAAACAATTGCCTTGAAAGCATCCTGTTGTAGTAGGACATTTAGCAGTCTAAATGGCTTCTAAATGTATTATTTAGCTATCATAGTGATAATCACAATGGGAGAGTGATCTGAACACTCAGGATTCAGATAGTTGGCCTCAATACTACCATAAGTTTGTAACCATTCAACATTACCAAACACCCAATCAATATGACTGTATATTCTTTCATTCTCATCTTTTTTGTTGCACCAGGAAAACTGCCACCCTTTTCTATTCATCTGTCCCACTCCCAAATCTGTGATGCAATTCTGAAAGTCCACAGTCTGAGCAGGATGAACTGGTACTCCATTCATTTTATTATCACTAGACAATATAGTATTAAAGTCTCCCAATAGTATCCAAGGTCCCTTTATAGAACCTTTAATGTTCCTTAATTGATGCCACAATGGTTTTCTCCCTGCAATTGTATGGTAACCATACACATATGTCAATTCACAATTGAATTGAGATTGTCTATCTTCAATAAAACAGTGAATCAACTGTGCAGTACTATATCTAATATTCACAGAAACTGAAGCTTTCCTCCATCCAACCCATATTCTTTCATTAGGAGCATGAGTATAGTCTGTATAGAACTCCCAATCATTTCAAAACTTTCTAATAAATTTTACAGCTTTATGTTGTTTAACTCTAGTCTCAAGGCAACCAATCAAATCTATCTTTTTTTCCAAGCAAAAAGTCCTTGAATTCTTTTTGCTTGTGGGCTTTATTAAGCCCTCTAATATTCCAAGAACAAAAAATCATGGAGGATGTTTCTTAGCAAGTCTCTGACTTACTCTCCTTTCAACTGCTTCTTCATAACATCTCAAGGCTGAGTATTGCTTGATCCCCAGGGTTTCCTCTGAATCACTATCCAAATCTTCCTCCTGGTGACACTGATCCTCATGCTGATTTCCCTGCCTTTGTCCTTGAAACTCTACTACCTGCTTTCCACTTCTTTGAACTTTTACTTTGGAAGGGACACTATGATCTTCCTCAATAGCAATAGAGTTGTGTGGCTTTGGTTTGGTCCTTTGCTGGCTTCTGCTTCAATTTATTCTTTGAACTTTCTCCTTTGCTGGCTTCTGCTTCAATTTATTCTGCTCTTTCTGCAGGGCATTTTGTTCCTGCTGATCCTCTTTTCCACAACTTTCAGTGAAATGCCCAAAGTGTGCACAGTTTTGACAGAATCTAGGCTTCCATTCATAGTCTATATCTTGCTGCCATATGGTTCCATGAGATTTATCAATAGTTATCACCTCTGGAAATTGCTGAGTTATGTCCATCTCAATGAGAACTCTAGCATATGATATCCTATCTCCTGTTGCTGTCAATTTATCAGTACATATTGGCCGACCTAGATAGCTAGCCAATGTGCCCAAATTCTCCTCAGTCCAGCCTTGAAGAGGTAGCTTAGGGAATGATACCTACAGTGGAACAAGTCGCAAAGGCTCCTTGTTCATTTTGAAATCTGGTATCCATTCCTTTAAGATCATCGCCTACTATTGAATGTATATGGTCCATTTTGAAGCAATAAGTTCTTATCATCCTCCGATTCAAATTTGAATATGAAGTATCCATCATCATGAAGGAATACACTGGGAGTTGACACAAATTGCCAAACTCCATACACAAATTGTAGCATCTCTTTAAAACTAGGCATACCTCTTAATACATAGAGAATCAAAGCATTTCTCCAATTTCTACTTGTTTCTCCATCTCGATCTCATTTAATTGCACTACTTTAACTCCATTTTTAATGGCTGGAGGGAAAAACTTCAATTTCATACCTAGATGTTGAGCGCGATTGTTTTTCACCACATCCGCCATAGTAGGACCTTCAGCTTCAGAGTTTCCTTTGATCGGACCTTCAGCTTCAGAGTTTCCTTTGATCGGACTTGGTACAGCTTGCTTCTCAAGGAAATTCAGTCTTTGAGCAGTAGCATTAGTTGATTCCTCCTTCTGTAACATCACCGACATCGTTATTTCCTGTTGCATGCAGCTTGATGCTTCTCTAGTCGTTACCCAATTCTCAGTTGCAGTGGTTCCATAGCTTGAGGGACCCCTGACTGTGGAGTAATGACCCTCATATCACCATCTACCTTCATCGTAGTGGTCGGAGCTTTGCCTTCCCGCCGTTCCTGGCGCGGCATCGTTGATAGAGCACGTTAGCAAACCTCTACTTAACCTGCGCCTTCAGAGCAAACGTAACCTACTTCGGAAATTGGCTTTTAAAATTAAAAAAGCCAATTAAAACAAAGCATTGCGATGGTCCCTGCGGATGTTTACGCAATGTGATTTCAGCCCAGTGCTCTGAATGTCAAAGTGAAAAATGACGATATTACAGAGCCTATAGTCAAGTGAAGGGAAATACAAGAGTTGGCAGGCCTTGAGACGATAAAAGAGTATAGGCCATAATGTCATATCGTCACTTTCAGAAATAAGTTCGTGATTCTAACACGACTACCAGAAGAAAAATGTTAGACCTCAGAATAATAGCAATCAGTATGGGCTGGTGAACAAGATAAACTAAACATGAATTAAGGGCTGAGTGATTGTATGGCCTTGTCGGCCTACGTTCAGGGTACGAGTGGTTATTTTGGTCTTAGAAGCCCATATGTCTTATGTATAAGTTAGTATTACATGTTATAATCTACCTATTTTACGGCAGCCTCTCCGGCCCCGTTATCTATGATAATATGATACGAAAAGATACGTTGTGTTGGTACTCGATTGAATAAGGTACCGGGTGCCCGTCGCGGCCCATCGGTATGGGTCATGGCAATATATATATATATATATCATAGAGTGAACACATCCCAATCGAGGAAAAACACAAGAACAAATGCAGATGTATGTTCACAACATACGTGTATTCTTATATCAGAGGCAAGTTTAGTATAAATCTCAAGATTTGCTCATCATGTTTAACATAAGGTACCAATAGCTTCAATATTTCTCTAGCATGGTTTATTGTGCTCACGTAGTAGATTAATTAAATAATACATAGAATCAAGTAAAACACACAACCAAACCAGGCATAGAGTAAGCTAGAATCTAACATGAGCATGAATATCCATGACGCTCATCACCTCATATATACATCACCCCCGCATGTTAAAAAAATACCAATTATTATAAAAAAATTCCTCAACCAAAGTTAGGGAAGATACTTACCTAAAACAAGCCAAATCGATATTGTAAAAATTCATTCCCCACGAATCGATCTTTGAACGACTCGAATCTAGCCCAAAAATAACTCAATATCATTAAATGAAGCCATAGTAATCAAATCCAAGCGGTAAAGGTTGAATTTTTAATCAAATACTCAAAGTCGACCAAAAAGTCAACTCAAGCCCGCATACCGTAACTTGAACTAATTCACAAATACCCATTCCAGTACGAGTCCAAATATATAAGTTTCATCCAAATTCGATTCTGACTCGGTGTTTAAAGCCCATTAATTCACTTTAGAAATATTTTGTCAAAACCCCCAAATTTCTCTTTTAGATTCATCATTTAAATTCAAAATCAGAGATATAATCATGAATAATAATCAAATTCGAATTAAGAACACTTATCCAATCCAAGTGGGTTAAAAATGCCTAAAAATTGCCTCCCTATCCCAAAATATGATAAAAATACCAAATTTCGAATGTAAACTTCTGCCTAGCTAACTTTGCTTCTGCGGTCCATTTAGCGCTTTTACGATGCAACATCTGCGGAAAACCCTCGTTGACGTGGAAGCCACTTAAATCCCCAAGTTTTTCTTCTGCGGAACAAACTTCGCATCTGCGGAGCCGCTTCTGCAGGCACCTGTCCGCTTCTGCGTACTCGCAGATGCACTACCTCTTCACATCTACGCAAAATACTAGGCTCAACAAATCTTGCTTCTGCCAATCTAAGACCACTTCTCCGGCCTCGTATTCGAGAACACCATACCAAAACTGCCTTCAAACTTCAAAATAATCAAAAACTCACACGAGCCCCGTGGGACCCTGTCCAATCATACCAACAAGTCACAAATATAACACGGACGTACTCGAGGCCTCAAACCAATCTCTTATGTTCATAGTGAATACATCAATCAACTCGGAATGAAACCAAAGTTCGGATACAAGTTCCAAATGACAAAACGAAACTATTCCAGCTTTCGAAACAATAATCTGAACCCGGTATCATCAAAGTCAATTCCCAGTCATAACTTATGAACTTTCTAAACTATCAAATTGCCAACATTCACATAAATAGAGCCAAAACCTTCTAGGATGATCCAAATACGAAACCAGACATACGCCTAACTCCAAAATCACCACACGAACCTATGGAACCATCAAAGCGCGAATCCGAGGTCGTAAACTCGCAAGACTAACCTTTGTCAACTCTTCCAGTTTAAAGCTTCTAAATTGAGAATTACTCTTCCGGATCAATCCCGAACTTCCCAAAAATCAAAAAATCTTGCACGGAAGTCGTAACTTATCATATGGAGCTACTCAAGAACTCAAATCGTTGAGCGGAGTATTATCGCTCAAAACGATCGGTCAGGTCGTTACAGAATTAGACTAAGTTTTTTTTAGGTTGCTAGAGTTTACTTCGGCTAAAAAACAGTTTTTTTAGGTTGCTAGAGTTTACTTCGGCTAAAAAACAAGTATGCTTCTATGTAGCAAAAAGCGACTCGTATTACAATCCAGTTGACATCATAGGCCTATATATGGACCGTTTAGTAGCATTCCTAATTGTAAGGTACAAGCTATTCAACTACATCCGATTAATTTTACATTTATATAAGTTGCATTAATAATTATCATGTGCACCATATAATAGGAGACTCAAAAGTGTAACAGGAGTAGTGAAGTACATGATCAATCTATTACAATAATCATTTTTTTTTTTAGATTTCGAATCAAATAAATTTGAGAATTGGTAACAGTGATAGTTGTGGAGTTCGTTGGAGTCAACATACTTATTTGTAAGCATGTGCACAAATTTTTTGTCTCTTATATATGGATCAAATTTACTATATGTTCATATTTCAAAATTCATTGTCTTCTCTTATGATAGTGCTGACAATTTGACTAGATTGAGGATTAATTAAAAGATAGAAAATACTATATGACCCTTTATTAAACCATTCATTCGCTTTGTCAAGTGGCTCTTGATCAAATTAATGGGCCTTTTGATGATAGGCTATAATTGTGTATTTTAGTCAATTATTACACTCTAATTTACTGCACTTTAATTGAGTTTGAGCTTTAATCGCTAGTGTTTTGCACTAATGGTGTGTTTTATGCCTTGTAGGAGTGATTCCGAGCTA